GCCCATGTTTGTAATCCCGTGTCCAAAACAAGCTCGCATCCTAGGCACATGTCTGTGGCATGAAATGAGTTCATAAAATAGCCTAGCAATTTTCAATATTGCAACTTTATTCGGGTTTGATTGCTTAAAATTATCGAAGAAGCCAGGGATGCAAATGATCCTTGTAAAGTTTACCAATAGAGTCAATATCATTTGGTATTCTAGGCCGTTATTTTTTCAAGTATTAACCAAATTAGTAATATATATAGTAGTTGTCTCCCGTTATTGGTTTTTTCTATTTCTGAGAAGGTGATCACACAGTCGCTGTTACCATGGAAAGCCGATAACAACCATGAAAAACTGAAGTGATATCATCCCATTCTATTTGCAGTACTTCACACTTCATATCATTTTTTATCGTCTTGCACCTCTTGTTTTTTACAAGTTAAATCAAGAAAGAGGTCTCTAGAAAGCTAATTATAAGCTACATCCACCCTAGAAATCCATTTTTGATTTTTTTAGAACTGTCCTCAGACGTTTCATGCAGTCATCACAGAGCAATCTCATACTTCTTAGAAACTCTGCAACAGAACCAAACCTGTCAATTCCAGGCTTACCCATGTTCCACCTTCAAAGATTATTTGAAAGGATCGTGTACCAGCTGTGGAGATGGTCCCTGTCCAATTTTGGGATACCGTTCCATTGACAGCCATCGTAAAGGCAAATATTACCTCAAGACTAATTCACAGTCTCCATTTTGTATGAAACGTAAGTAACCTAATTGGAATTGACATTAAAGATTTTTGGAGGGTTGATTTGTAAGGGTTACAGTAGAAACTTGGCAATGACTCTCGCTGAGCGAGACGCTAGCTCGCTATGGATATGGGCTCGTTTTCGTAAAAAAAAAAATCTTGGGATCAATTTAGTCTTTAGTATGGTATTACTCAATGTAAAATTCCACACTTGCGGTTTTATTTAGGTTGTGGACAGTCAATAGGAGACGATCTGGTGCAGAAAAACTCTATTCAATTCATTTCACTTTTTTATTCATTAACTAAGATGATTGAGATAAACATTTACAAAAAATCACGGTGTTCAACAAGGATGAAGAATCGTTTCAATGATTAACCTTATTACTGAATACAGGTTTACAACAAGATTGTGTGCATGATGAATAAATGGTATGTGAGTCAACAAAGAGTCATCGCTTCATAAAGTTAATTGAAACACGAACAACCCGCTCCACATTTACAATTGTCTACTCCTGTACAACCAACACCGCAGGCACACGTTCCTGAAATATACATAATAGAAGCATTTATAATACTTACTATATTAATAATTTAAACGTTGTTAATGTATGATCAAATCAAACTTAATTAAAATTTGCTGATATTAATAACAGTGATTCCTTACAATTAAAAATCAGGGCTATATAAAGATTCCCTATCTAAATGGTGGCATTACGGATCGGAATCTCCTAAGGCTTCGATGTCTAAGAATATGATACTCGTGTATAACACTGGAGATCAGAAACTATATCCACGTATACCTTAAATTACCCGATATGGGACGGTTAATGATTGTGATGACGTTAGCCTTACAACTGGCAACCGAATTTTGTGTGATAACCTATTTTTGAAAAGCTGAACAGTGACTTCATCAATGACATCAAGGGTCAAAAAAGCCTTAATCGATTTTGCTCACTTCTAAAAATGTCTAAATGACGCAACAAGCTGGAAAAGGGGGGGAGTATCCAAAAGATAAGCCCAACAGATAATATTCTATACCAGTCCAAACTTATATTACTGATAAGATAGATATAAACAAGACTTATGATATATGAATAACAAAGATAATAAAAGGTCACGGCCGTGGGTCAGGCTGAACTTTTGATGACCTTCCCTTCCCTTCCGGTTCCTAACCACTATTCAAATGGCTATCAGAAATCATGTTAAGTAGGAAAAATTTAGGAAATATGTTCCATGTTTTATGCCCATCATAAAGAACTTTACGTCTGTTAGCCTCACCTAAGAAATTGGCGCCAAAAATAAAATGAAATGTTTCCGGTCTTCACCAATGATACTGTTCATTTGCGTGCCCATTTGCCCACATCTAGATGGAATTTTTGAAGCATGGAGGCGTCAATAGAAGTGGTTTCAAGAACAAGCATCTTCACAAAGGTAAAGGTAGTACTAGTTCCAAAGTGAAGATGAAGAACCAGTTCCGTTAAGATATTTACCTGGACATTTGCATTGGAGTTTGCCTGGTGCACAGCAATCTGGTTTATTACCAGGTTTACAGCAATCAGCTGGTCCAGTATCACAACACAACTTAGTTTTACAACATTCATATTCGGCAATACAACCTACAAAATAACAATTTAAGAACATCAGTATTGTTTGTTTTACCACAAAACACATCATTTTCCCCGTGTGCTACAAGCTTTGCACGTTAAAGATCCCCCGACAGTTGGAAATCGAAAAAGAGCAGGCTAATGCCGCTGTCCTGGCAAAATTTCCCTCATTGCACCCTGCATGGCATTGTCCGTCTTCATTAGCCCACATGGAGCAGAAAAGTAGGACGTAAAACTCCATTCATTTCATTTCATTTAAGTAGGCTTACAAATGTCAAACTGGTGGGTTCAATGTTAAACAGCTGAGCCGCCAGTCTTGATCTCAACTGGCACCTTATGTAAAGCTATGTGAAACTTCGCTAATTAATACCTTTTCTTGGTCATGTGCACGCGGTAACATTTAAGCTATAAATACCTCCATAAAACCTACAAACAATATTATTTAAAACCTGACAGTGGCTCGTGTATAATATTGAAACCTACTCAACAAATCATGTCATATTCTAGATATTATGATTTGCCTATCAATTATATGTAAACCTATCATTTATACCATATAGATCATAACCTAACGATTACATTATTATATTTATAAAGTGTTTATTGATGCGTCTGGGTAAACGCAGATTTCCTACCCTATATTAAATGTTTTACATATTTCCGGTCATAATAACATAAACATGACATTTTCAATACCGGAAGTTTCTTATCCCTATCAAAGTATATCAACTGATACTTCTATTTACATGCTCCTCCAAGATTCTACCAAATACAACCTCATTAGCGTTATAATATTGTTAATATAAGATGATTCCTGTTGAATCGATAATAATATATTCTTCTTAATTTTAAGTAACCATGTTTACATGGTGGGGTAGGAGGTTTATAACCTAATGCTGCAGCGATAAAAAATTTAATTATATCACATATGATATAAGTTTTCTTCATTTTACTTATAATTACTTGACAAATTTAAAATTCTTCCTGTTTCAGTTTACAAGCAGTTTAGTACGAACATATATATAGAAATAATATTTACATTGTTTTTTTTTTAAGGAAAGAGGGGATAAAACTAAATGAGGAAGTGATAAAAAAATGCATTATTTAACATATAAGATTTCGGAGATCTTCATTTTACTTATAATTACTTGACAAATTTAAAATTCTTCCTGTTTCAGTTTACAAGCAATTTAGTAGTAATCATGTTAGCATGCGGATCTTAATGAATCGATGAAAGAAATGAAATACATCACATTGACGCAGGTTGTGTTAATTGCTTTCAGCCCTAAATTTGCGATCCAAAGGAGAGAATCAATATATTACTATTGTCGTCTGCTCGTGGATGTTTTTGTTCTGATACATAAGGCCTAAGACCATCAAAATATCATTATAATGTAAGGGTAAAAAAATTGTGAAGTAATTGAGAAATAATATAATACATATACTCAGCCGATATTTTTGAAATTTTGTATTAACACAATATATCCCTTCACATGACAATGTATTTTAGTCAGTCCTAGAAATTTTCCATACACTTCAATATCACAATGAACAATCCACTTCCATGTCGTTTTTCATTGCCCGAAAAAACGATTAATTTGAAAAGACTATAATAAATGTTACTTACATGATGGTTTTTCCGAAGACATTTTTCTGTTATTCTGTAGAAACTTTAAGAAGTACTTTTTATAACGAATTAAATTGTGGTATGAATTGCTGTACTCTGCGGAGTTTATTTATAAACAAGGATTTGCACACGGCCGCACTCGGCACGCCATGTTTCACATAGCAAAATTTCATTGATCTAGAATTTCACGGAACATTGTTTACACCACGCAAAAGAGTTCAAGGGTTATGTTAAGTTTCACATTGTTTTATTTGTTTGGTTTTTGCACCTTAATTTGGAAAAGGGTGTGTAGGACCATAACAATATTTGAATTGATGTTGTACATAAGTAAAGATGACAAAATCTTATATTATACAGGTTAACGCCAAATTTTTCAAAATACATGTAATACGAAAATCCCAAAGCCGTGTACGCAATAAGTTCCAAATGGCCCTTAACCGAGCTTATGTCATTGGTGGCGGTACAGCGGGAGGGGAGCAATTATGTGAAATCAATTATAGAGAAAACTCTCTCAGACGTTCAATGGGGGACTTGTGCCTATGTGCTCCACACAATTGTTGCATTTTGAATCTCAACGAC